ATTCAAGAAATGCCACTTTTGAACTTTGTGTTTGTGTGGTGTACAGCAGCAAGACAGAACAAGAAGAGGGGAGCAGCTAGCATATACCCTGCTTCATCCTGGTCTGCATGACAACAGGATCTGTTTTGATAATGTTGTGTAACTGTTTGTCAATGCTGACAAATTTGGGGAGGCATCTATATCATTTGAGAACTAACCACAATGTCAGTCTGCTCACCTGGTAACAGACCTTGGTCAGATCTATAAAAGCTATGTAAAGATCACAGTCCTGTTCCCTCCATTTTTCAGGCTCTGTCACACGACAAGGATTATATCTGTGGTACTGTACCAGGAGTGAAACCCACACTGGGATTCAGGCAAGATGTCTTCAGTCAGTGCTAGGAAACTCTGGATAACACTTTGCCAGCAATGAATAGAAAGGATATTCCAAGCTATAATTATTGATAGTCAGCAGGGTTGACTGTGTACATCTGACTGGTTACCCCATATATGCAAAGGCAACAAAACAATTCTTGATGCATACTGTGAAAACAAGGAGGAACCAAACATTCTACATTTCAATTAATTTGTTGCACAGATCTCCATTCTGCAGAAACTAGAAGGAAATCACCAACAAAAAGACCTCCTGCTCCTGGATGGGGACCTGAAAAGATGAGTTATTTTTCTTGTTGGAAGGAAAATCTGTAAAATTACAGAACAACATGGGCTAAATAGGGCACTTAAGCAATAGCCCAGATGAAGAATATCACCCCAATAGGAGCTCCCAGAAATAGGGAGACATTCTGTGCAGGGCCATCCTGGCTCCTTTGACAAAGTACAGGGAGTGTCAGAGCAGTTCAGGGGAATCTAGCTCTGGCCATGATGGAAATGTAGTCCTTAAAGGTTACAATACATTACAATGGTACCACTGAAGCTGAGTTTTGTTTTGTTTTGTTTAAGATAACTCCTTCCCATATGCATGTATACAAACCTCATTCATAATTGAATCCTGCATGCATAGATCTCTACCGTTCTTAGGCTGACACAGTGGGCGTGTGCAGACGAGCACGCGCATGTGGTACTGCTCACTGCACACGCTACCCTTGCAGGCATTCCCCACGCTACTAATTTGCAGTGCGGACAGTTTATTTGGCACCAGGAGATGCCTGTCCAGCTGGAGCCACACTGTCTGCTAGCCAAGCTCCTTGCTGCTGGACTGCTGCTGCTAGAGCCCCGGGAGACCCGCAGAACCCAAGTTAAGGCTGCTAGAGCCAGCTCAAGTGCCGGTCCCAGCCTCCCCTACCTCACCTGGGGCAACTTGTCACATGCCAGAGCATGTGTGCCCAGGCATTCCTCAGGGACATATTGTGCCGCTGCTATTTGTCCCCAGGGAAATGCACATGTGTGCTCGTCTGGACGTGCCCAGTGACAACATTAAACATACAAAACTGGGATCAATCAAGCATAAACAATTTCTCCCACTGAAGAACCTCTTTACTTGTACTGAAATCTATCCACTAAAGAATATGGCTTTAGACTGAATTGAATGTGACTTAACTGGTTGTGAGGAATCTCCCTACTTATCAAATCAGCGTGTCAACAAAAAGTTGACCAAACCCAGTCCAGATAATAGAAGTCACAAGAGTTGTCCTACTGCAAACCAGAACCCTTTGCTTATTACTGGCTCTGATAGGGACTCACTGTGGGCATTTTTACACATGCAAGCGCTGCAGTGCCGGGTGCTTTGAAAAGTGCCTGGCGCTACAACGCTTGCAGTTGTATAAGCAGCGAAATGTGCATCAGAGCTGAGAAAATAGTGGTGGCACACTTTTGAACTAAAACATATAGAAGGTGCTTTAGTTCAAAAGTGCACCGCCGCCATTTTCTGCATGCTGACACGCATCTCACCACTTATACAACCGCATGCAACCCAGCAACCCAGCGTCAGCTTGCATGCACATCAGCTCGCTCCGAAGCAGCAGACATCTAGCGCACTGTGGGAACAAAAAGTATATGTATAAATGCCCTGTAGTTGTGGCCAAATAAGCCACTTTGTTTCTGTTTTCTCATTTGCAAAATAAGGGCAATAATCGTTGCTCATCCATCCCCCCAGTTTTGCTGGGTTAATTAGTTAAAAAGCTTGTACGGTGCTTTGGAGATGAAAAGTGTTCTTAAGCATGATTTTAGTTCTGTATTAATATAAACAAGCTAGAGAAGGACAATATGGTCAGAGTTAATGAGCTGGAAATAGATTATTTCTAAACAGAAAAAATAGCTAATAATTTCTTGGCCACAATTGCAGTACTAATTCTTACAATAAAAATCCATATCTATGCTATATTCCATAAAAGAACTATATTTACAGAACATTATGTTGCATAGTTAAATACTCCAAAATCAAAAAATGTACTTTCAACACAATCTTAACTCTGCCCCACTTTGTGTATGCATTGCAGTACAGCCTTTCACTAAAGGACTGTATTCAAGTCTTCAGTATCATACACTTTTTTTGTACAATCTTAGATACAAGGGATGCTGACAGACATGACCAAAAAAAAATCCCCCAAAAAACAGTGCTTTACCAAAAGAGGCAGCATGTTAGTTCGACCCGGCTCTGCAGAGTCTGTATAGATCAGGCACATCAGTGGGGTTTTTGGCGCTTTTATCTAATAGCTGATTCAATCAGCTATTAGATAAAGGCACCAAAAAGCCCTGCTGAACCACAGTTCTATACAGATGTTGGGTGAAGTGGGTCCAACTAAAGCAATGCCTTTTCTGGGCGTGTGCTGCATTCAGTGCAGGGCACACCAAGTTTAAAGTAAAGCTTCATTTTTGGGTTTTTTTTCATATTTGTAAGCAGCCAAGATGTAGCATCTTGTAATGTACTAATCAGTGTAGGCCCAATGGAATCCATTAATGTCATTTACATAGGGATGATACTTAACATACTAAGCATAATATTAAACAATAGTTTAAAAAATGCTGGCATTTATTAGCCATATTATAAGAGTTCACAGCTAAGCAACCCCTTAGGCAATTAAATGGTCACATCTCTGAGGGCTCCACCTAAGGAAACCTAAGCTTCTGGTTGAAAAGAAAATATACAGTAAATAGGTCCTGAATAGTAAATAAAATAAATACAGACCTTATCAAAAAATTAAGTCAATATGAGGATAAAAAATGCAAATGTATAACAAGAATTAAAAATGACACAGTGCCATATATGTTTATCAGGACTTATGGATACAAATCTTATTACTATATAGGAACAACATGTAGTCATGCCATTAAAGAAAAGGGCATAGGGCCTCTGGTCCAGCTGAACTCTTCTAGGAGCACGACCAGAAGTGGGAAATGGTGATTTTATGCTTACTGAGCGCTTCCTCTGTAGTTTTACAGATGCTATCATTCTAGTTAAACTAAGGATCATCTTCAATATTCCTTAATAAATCTTAATCAGTGTTTCGCAGTGCATTTGCACTTACCATGGCAATTGCTGTTACGTAGCAAAAGATACGCTCTGCACCAAAATGTTAATTAATCAACCAGAATGTGGTTTCTTGGACTCTGTTTCAGTTAAGATTTTATTAACTATGGCAATGGAGTTAAACAAACCTAGATCCTATAATGAGATATGAATAGATGGGCTCCAACATCTTCATGGAGCCTTTCTGAAGTTCACAGGCTCCTGTAGGTATAAGGATCTGTGCACCCAAGTTTAAATGCAGGATCAGGCTTTTAATTTGCAATGAGTAATTTATTCACCACATTTCTGCCTTTTCCATCTGTTTGCAACTGTTCATGAGTAGATCATGGAACAGTCAAATTTATTAATTATTGGAAACTATTCACACATTGTTTCTTTGAATAACTTTGGATTTACCTACGAATGCGGCATTTTAAGATAAACATAAAAAAGGGTAGCAATAAGAATACTCTGCCTGCTTCTTGGTAACATGGTACTGGAAAAAGTTCAAATGAACACAAATATCAGGACCCAAGCCTGCAAGATGCTCTGTGTGAAAATAACTGCATGTCCTTGGACTCTAACATGAGTGCAGGCCTCTACCCACAGAGAACAACTTGAAGGATGAAGACCCAGTTTTAACTTGGAATTCAGAAATTCAAATATGTTACTTCATAAGCACTGGTGAACCACAGCGAATAAGCTATTCCTTTTTTTGTCAACCATCTCTCTAATACTGGACCATAGCACAGTAATTAGCTATGACTGTGCTAATTTTTAGACATCAAAAAGAAATAATTTGACTTTGAACCAGTGGCCAACTATTGCTGATTCAATTCATATGTAATTGATATCAATTATGATGCATGCAACAAAACCAGACATTATTCCATTTCATACACAACTGAGGCTTTATTTTGCTTCTCCTGTAAAGGAGGATATTTTTCATGGTTAGTTCTACTGTGATAGTACCTAGAGACCCCAAACATCCATCTGGGTTCCACTGTACCAGGTACTGTGTTGACAAATAAAACGTTAACGTTTGCTACAAACAGATATGAATGAATGAACTTTATGTCAGTCTTGGAAGAGTTCACCTTCCAAAAGTCTTTGTGGATGTGACCATGCACATTTTGACTAAAATAAAATGCATTTCCTCCTTTTTGTGTCAGTAGTTGAGAATCACCCTTTCTTTCTCAGCATCTCACGCAGATTCCCGTAAAAGTGCAACAGCAGGAGAGTTACCTACAAACATATAAACTGAAAGAAAAAAAATATTATATGTGGCTACTTGAGGGCTGTTTAAAAGTTGTTGGTTTTTTTTTACTGAAATATTCCTGGAAAAAAAAAAAGAATAACTCCATGTGTCCAAAGTGATCACTATGGAAATGGGATGAATCTGAACCATAATCCTAGTTCCCTGTTTCTGGAGTGTGTTGGTGTATGCTAGTATGGATGAGATACTGGCATAAGCACCTCTTTTTAACTAGTGAAATCTGATCACTTTTCCATGTCATTTAGCCAATGGGGTAGATTTTCATAGTCTCCCCTGTACCTTGTATCTGTCCATAGGATCTTCCTGCTGTAACTGACTCTCTCGCATTGTCTGATACTCTCTCTCATACTTCTTCAGCTTCTTTGTGGGCACCTGTGGAATACATTCAGAAAAAACATGCTCTTAGAGATGGGAGGAACACAGGAAAAAGCTGCTAGAAGCTTATCTTGCAAACAGGAAGCAGAAGAAATGTGGGACATTCCCTGCTAAACCCGCACACTATCATCAACTAGTGAGACCAGTGTGAAAGATGGGGGGAGGCGTGGGGAGCTAAGTTTGTGGAGAAAAAACAACA